CTGTTAGAATTCATGTTGAGCGGGCTATAGGGAGAATAAAAAATTATCACATTTTGGATGGGACCCTACCTTTGACTCTTGCACATGTAGCAGATCAAATTTTCACTGTCTGCTCCTATTTGACTAACTTTTTACCCCCTCTTTTACCCCCAAAGACAATGGCAAATCAATAATTATTTCAATGAAAATATTTAGGGATATCTGTGTATTAATGTTATGGAGTGACCATGAAATATAATCTAGAAAATAGTTACTAAAACTAATAGTTTTTATTTAGTGACTATTTATCACTATCATTCAACTGGAACAGTCTTAGTAACAATACATTCTGTACACTTGGGAAATCAAATACAAAGGGAACAGTAGCTCATTATAACTGTTCCAGTTTAGAGACAGCAACTAATGGTCACTAAATAAGACCTGCATATTTCATGGACATAGAGTGGTTTCCATTAATCCGTGAAACACACTTAAGCGTATTTATCGCTATTACACTTTGGCTCTTTTGTTTTTTATTGTCTCTACGTGACTATTACGATCAACTACACTCTAATTATTCACACTTTGTTTCATGGGTTTATGAAAACCACTCTATTGTAAGAACTCTACACTGGTTAATGATATACTTTACTTTTATATAGTATACATTGTATTGACTGAGTGAAGCAACAAATTAGATTGTACTAAAGGTGCATTAGTGTAATATCCATTACTGTAATTTCCCTCTTTTGGTTTTTTACATTACTCTGCTACATAATGCCATGTACATGCATTCAACAAATACAAATTTTTACAGCTAAAAATAAGACAATATCTTTAATGTAAACCTTTTTCATTTTGTTCTATACAGATTTAAATACAACAGCTGTAAATGGAATGAGTCTGCAGAATAAATAAATATACAACATATTTGCATAAAAACATAAAGATAACTGTTCTTTGTAAATTAAAGTGCATTTCTGAGCACCTAAAAATCTATACATGTATGATATTTACAYTTTACAATATGTAGTCCTTTAAAAAGGTCAGCAATCAGGAGATTAAAAGACAGTATATGCATGTAGATACACAGACTACTATTTGACTTAATAGTTTTATATGTGTAATACAATAAATATGGGCATTGAGTTTTGATTTTTAATGCTATAACNCTTATATAGCTTGACACCGCGCTCCACTCTTCTGGTTAATTTCTCTGGTAGGAATGCTCTTTTATAAAAATAATCTAATTTTGGTAATACATTACTATGCCACCAGTTGTGATTAAAGTATATGCGCTCTATGAATACATTGCTGTTACAAAACCACACAACAAAATCAACCCATTCCAGGTTACACACAAACATTTGACCCTGTATTTGRTAGTAGTACTGATGTTCTTCCTTAAGTGAAATTTTTCCTTCATTCAATCTAACCAGATAAAATGCTTTATCCTCACAAGCTTGATGTACTGTCATACCTCTCTTTGAAAACGGGCATTTTACTTCTAGCCCTCCCTCTTTCATACCCACTGACATTGGATCATATACCTTCCTGTCTAGACTTGCACCTAATCCTGGTCTTTCCTTTGATAAAATTGTTCCAACCTCCTGTACTCTCAAATCTACATCTCCTTCTAGTTTTTTTACATTAACATAACATTGAACAGCATCATTTTCATGTAGATTTCCATATACAAGGGATTTTGCGCACTTTTGTTCACCAGTTCTGATATACATGATTCTTTTCAGAAATAGATCAGGTTCCTTCTTTCTAACTGCTGCTGCTTTAAAATTAGATGCAGTCAATTTTTCCCTCTTTAAGTCTTTCCACAGTTGATTGTTGCCTTGGCCTCTGGTTTCTGTCTCTATTCTCTCGATGTCTTCATCAGTAACACTTTCTTGATATTCATCTATCATTTCTTGAAAGGATTTTGAAGAAATGTCATAACAGTCATTGAATGGTAATTCTGAGGTCTCATCAGAAGAACTGTCTTCTTTGATAAGCACAGTTGATACAGAGGTTTTACTGCATTGGTCAGCAGCATTGATAGGTACAGCTTCACAAATACTATCAACTTCCACATTTACTGCTGGATAAAACAGGAAGAAAGAGCTACTGCTCATACATGTAGCAAGATCTGATGACAGCTGCTGTAAGGACTTTTCATTAACCTCTCTGTCACAAGGTGCACGGGGGTCATATAAACTAAATTTTGCAAATTTAGCAGACTCTTTAGCATAGTGATSTTTTGTTATGACAATGTCATCCACTGGTTTGKGATCGACCTTCACTTTTCGGGGTACATTCCACTTACACAGTTGTGAAGTGCAGGATACAGGTTCAGGGCTATCTTGGAGTCCTTTTCTTCCAAAATCTTCAACAGCAAACAGAATCCCACCAACATGGTTACACCTCCCCAAACCAGAAACACCTAACCTATGCGAACAACAAAATAGCGTGATTTAGTAAGACAAAATAAGTCTATAGCAGAGTTTTGACTGAMAAATAAAAAAGCAGTGTGACTGCTTTGCATAAACGAATGCATATYTAAAGTATATAACTACCAAGCAAATGGCCATGATTCGTGAACTGATGTCGTATAGTAAATATTGCAATATAAAGAAAACTTACCCTGCAACACACTCGCATGCAGCCTTAAGAATTGTTCCAGCTTGATCAAAGCAAACAATCGAGTTGTATGCCTTCGACTTCATTGACGCCACAACCTGACACTTCAGGTAAATTTGCTGTCCATGAGTAGCACATAGCATCTTTTTTATGTGACCTTCCTTAAAGAATTTCAACGATTTCAGCTTTTTAAAGCCACCGGACTTTTTGAGGGTTTCATGATTGTCCATTGAAACAACAAGATAGTCGTATAGTTGAAGAAAGTCGAAATTTGGCAGTTTACGTAGATCGGCTGTCCACTCGCACATTTCTGCCTCTTTAGAGATAGTCTTGTATGTAACTTTTGATGCTATATTTGCTTGCTCCGTTTCTGATACTGCTGCCGATAGAGTACTCGTCCTGTCCTCGGAAATTTGTTGTGTTTCCTTTCTTCTCTGGATGACTTCGCACCTAACTACAAGATCGGCCTTTTTGCCAGACGTTGGTTCGCCATTTTCTCGAAGAATCTCTTTCAAATCCTTTACTTTTAGCTTAGCCAACTCCTTCAACGAGCTACTGTTGTCTTCTTCTAGATCCATAATGCAGATCATTGACGATCAAGGCGATAAAGTGTCAAAAAATGGATAAAACACGAAGTAAACAAAGGAATCTCGGTGAAAAACCATACTTTCTATCATTACATACAGGGATAGCCTCGTTTTCGGTTTGACAGCTGAGCCCGTATAGCATTGAGCCAGCTGTCTTCCACAGCGAAGCGGGAAATTCGAAAATGTCGCATGCATGTTCTTGTATGTTGGGGCAAGGATTGTCGTTCAACTTTGTTGAAAAGGGGATTTTTTATTTTAGTTTTTAGTTGAAAGAATAATTACAAGCCAAGGACAAAAGGTAAAATACTGTATTAAAACATATTTCGTAGCTATAGAATAGTACATAAAAGTGAATAGCGACTTTGAGATGAGGGTACAAAATTCAGAAATTTATCCATCATTGATGAAAATCCTGCTGTTGTTTCATTTGTTAAAAATTTGTTAATTTCTATTCATAAATCCCCAATCAATGAAAAATACGGCGGCAATGAGTCGGGTTTTTAGGACCATTGCGGAAACTYTCGCTGTTCGATGCACTTTGAACAAGAGTGCTTCTACAGATTCTTCGTTAATTGAAGCTCGAAAAGAACCCTTATATGCTGTTTCGACAATTTGGGAGATTCAAAAAGAATCCAAAATTTGCTCCGTGCGAGAAAGACGAAAGGTGAGGGTCAAAATGATAAAAATAATAAAATTTCTCGCAAAATCGCATTCCAAAATGTGAGTTTTTTTTTTTGCTTTTCTTACACCAAGTGATTTTTTAAAATTGTAAATTTAAARATTTCTCTAAACCTGAAAACAAGAAAAGCTGTAGGCTATCGAGTTGAACAATAGTAATGGTTAGAAATTCCTGCAAGTGTCTTATCTCAGAAACATGTTTTATACTATCTTTTATAGAGGTTCCCAATTGACCTMTGTACACTACAATGGACCAGCCATCTCTTTTTTGTAAGATTATAATCAATGTATCAAATACTATCAAGTCCATTTTTGCTTTACATCCTCTTGAAATGTAACTGTGCCTTTGCAACAAACTGAGATGACTTTTGAGCTTGCAATAATAGAAGCCACTGAAAAATTGTGCAACAGTATCTATCACATTGCACTCTCTTACTTTAAAAAAAGTAGGATTGTTACCTGGTCCCAGAGGTTTTCTTTTCTCTTCTTTTCTAGATGTTTTTTATCGTATTTTTGTCTTTGTTTTTTATATTTAACGTCGCAAGAAGAAAACCTCTGGTCGGGACCGTTGAGAATCTCACTTTCATGCCACCAGCTTCGGATCGGCRTTTGTGATTGGTGGAAATAATTAATCTCTAAAGCAGCAATATGATTGGCTAGAAAATATACCTGTGGGAGTAGGGCTAGGTTGACTTTCTAAAGATCAAAATTACCAAGCGGGGAGGACARGGRTTACTAGTATATGCTCGACATTCCATTTATGATCGCTTACTGCTTCTTCTATTCAAACTCTTCGTATTTATAATTTATCTTCTATGGCATCAATATCAAAGTCACTCTTTGAAAGTGTTGTGTTGTCAGTACTTGACAAACGTTTCCCTGAGATCGAAACGTTATCTGACGAACAGAGTGCGGCTTTGTTTGCACTTGTKAATCGCGAGGACGTCTTCGCSATCTTGCCAACCGGCCATGGGAAGTCCCTTATCTTCCAGTGTCTGCCAGATATTTGCGAGGAGTTATCTTTACGAGGCAGAGATTATCCAAGAAAAGCCGTCATATTAGTAGTATGCCCGCTGAACTCTCTTGTGAACACGCATATACGTGAATTACACTCTCGTGAAATAACAGCGACCAGCCTCGTTGGTGATGTTGACGAAGAAAAGGTTCTTCGCGGAGAGTTCTCGTTCGTTTTTGCGAACCCAGAATCGCTGATACTTAACGAGAAGTGGAGAAAGATGCTGCAGAGTGACGTGTATCTCAACAATCTATTCGCTATTGTGACAGATGAAGCGCACGTTATTCCAAAATGGTAAGCGGCTGGCTATATATCACGAGCATGCAATATTATCACACCTATGCCAACTGATCGACGTCCTCGTTCTCATTTGATGTTTATGCTTTACTGTATTACTCACAGAGTTCTTTTGTTCTTTTGTAGGGGATATAGAACGCAAAAGTATGGCACAAGCAGCAAGAAAGAGTTTGTTTCTGCTTTTAGAGAATGTTTTTCAAGGCTTGGAGAATTAAGGTCTCTTTTAAGTACAAAGCCTTTGGTTCCTGTTTTGGCACTAACAGCTACAGCCAACATACAAACAAGGAATGTCATAAATGAGTCCCTTTGCCTCAGGCAAAATTATGTTCCTGTCTTTGTAAGTCCCAACCGAGAAAACATTTTATCAACAGGATGAGGGTTAACTCAAACATCTCAAAAGCATTCGATTGGTTGGTTGCAAAGGTCAGGGAAGAACAAGTCAACTTAGAGAAGACTATATATTTGCTATAAACATGGAGGAAAATAGTCCAAGGAAAGCTGTTACAACAAAATGTCACAATACTTGTCGTCTTTGTAACCAAGAGTTAAGAGAGGTTGTCCGTAAAAATCGCCTATGGCTGGAAATAGCCGAAAAATCAAAATCRCTCAAACTTTACCAGAATGTAAGTTGGGTGGACCTAATAATATAAAAAAGGTTTTAAGTTCAATTGGAAAAAYATTTTTTGAGATAAGTCGACATTTGGGTTTTCCCGGCGAGTGACATGATTTCCAACGTAATTTGACCTGGACSGGAAATAGCCCTTTAGAGCTGGTAATTCAYRCGCAAYTCAACTCTTTGMTTTATTTCTGTAMAATATAGTTATCAAAGAAGGACAGGCAAGTTCAAATATTGTATTTCATTCAAACGTAAAYATTTCAGCAATTTTTGAAGTTGGTCTWTATTTTGGTCAAGGTTTTACCGTATRCTTTTSAAMTCAAAATATCGCCACTGATACCTCGAACCAGATAATAAAAACAACATCCAGATGTACACCAAGGATAGATCTTTTGATATGTCAAATAAAATTTTTGGGCTATTTAGAATTTAACGAGTATTTTTGAGTTAAAGAACGATCAAATTTGTCAAAATTGATTGAGTACTAAAGGCGGCAAAATCAAAGAAATTACCAAAATAAAATTGATTTGGTCGTAATATTCATCTATTAGTTATTAAAGATATAAAGTGGTGTACCTACTAATCATCTGTGAATGTATTGTACTTTTTTACTTGAAATATCTTGAACAAGTGTCAGAATTGGGGGCGAACGCTACAAGCCAGTGTTTATGTTTATGTTTTTGAATTGTTTATGTCTGGGCGAGAAATCTTCTGAATTCTTCGAAATCGTATTCTATAAACGCAATTAAACAAGGTAAAAGAAACAACAGACTTTTCGCAACAATGGTGATTGAAAAACAGAGTCAAGATGCTAGTTGACTCAGGAGCCTCTTGTAATATTTTGCCGATCAAACTACTACCTAAAGGAACTGTCATCAAAAAATCAGACAAAACCCTCAGCATGTACTCCAAATCCACTATGAGTGCCGTAGGAACCTCAAGTATCGAAATAAACAACCCAAAGAATGGTCAACGCTATAACCTTGACTTTGTAATCGTCAAAGGAGACTACACACCACTAATTGGTTTACAGGCAGCACTTAAGATAAAATTAATAGAAATCCACAAAGAAAACATTCTTACAGTCGACGAGGAATACACTACTGTCAAAGGACTGACAAAGGATGAAGTTCTTAACGAATATTCTGATGTGTTCGGAAACGAGTTAGGCCATATGGAAGGAAAAGTTCACCTTTATGTAGATCCCAGCGAAAAAATAACTGTATCACCACCCCGCAAAGTACCACCATCAATGAAGACTGATCTGAAAGAAGAAATAGATCGACAAACCAAACGTCAAGTCATAAGTCCAGTAGACACGCCTACCGATTGGGTGTCTAGTTTGACAACAGTCCGAAAACAAAATGGAGACATACGACTATGCATTGATCCTCAACCGCTGAACATCGCACTCAAACGATGTCACTATCCCTTGCCAACTATAGAAGATCTACTACCAGAGTTATCCCAAGCAAAAGTCTTCAGTAAAGCAGACCTCAAAGAAGGATTCCTGCAGATTTAATTGGATGAAGAGTCCAGTTATCTAACTACATTTCAAACTCCATGGGCCGCTATCGCTATCACAGACTCCCTTTTGGAATATAACCTGCCCCAGAAATCTTCCAAATGAAGCTGGATCAGAATCTAGAAGGCCTTAACGGTGTTTTCAAGATTGCTGATGACATTTTAATCACTGGCCAAGGAACAGATGACGAAAGTGCCAACAGAGACCACGACAAGAATTTAAAAAACCTTCTTGAGAGATGTCGCAAGAAGAACATTAAGCTCAATAAAGCTAAGTTTGAATTCAAGTGTGATGAAGTCACATTCATCGGACACCGTCTGACAAAGGAAGGGTTGAAGCCCGACCCAAATAAGATCAACGCCATATTGAACATGAAACGACCAGAGGATGTTGCAGCAGTACAACGCCTACTAGGTATGACCAAATACCTTTCAAAGTTCCTTAAAGATCTTTCTCAGATGAGTGAGCCACTACGACGTCTCACGCATAAGGATGTGCAGTTTGTCTGGACCAAAGAGCACGAACAATCATTCAATGATATCAAGAAGGCGATTTCATCAGCACCCATCCTTAAGTACTTTGATTCATCCAAAACGACAGAGGGAAGTGGAGACGCATCACAGAAGGGAAGAGGATTTGTCTTAACGCAAGATTATCACCCTATAACCTATGCAAGTCGCGCCCTTACAAAGGCAGAACAAATTAATCGCAAATAGAAAAGGAACTCTTGGCTCAAGTATTCGGCCTCGAGCACAACCACCAGTATGTGTACGGACGCAAGGTCACACTCTACACAGACCACAAACCTTTAGTGTTAATTTCCAAGAAACCCTTATCTTCAGCACCTAAGCGACCTCAAAGGCTATTGCTACGCCTGCAAAACTACGATTTGGATATCAAGTTTAGACCAGGAGATCAAATGTACCTGGCAGACACTCTATCGAGCGCATACTTGGATACAAGCACAGATACGCTGTCAGAAACAGAAAAAGAAGTAGAGAGTATCCATGCTGTTGACTACCTTGCCATATCAGAACCTCAATTGAAAGAGATCAAAAGTGAAACAGCAAAAGATTCGACATTACAGCTATTAAAGAACACTATCCTGCAAGGATGGCCCGATGACAGAGTTTCTGTTCCCGAAACAGTAAAGCCCTACTTTAACTTTCGAGACGAATTAGCAGTCCATGACGGAATCGTTTTCAAGGGAACAAGATGTGTCGTACCAATCTCCCTAAGACAGAACATCAAAGAGAAGCTTCACCGCTCACACATAGGCATTCAAGGATGTCTTAGAAGGGCAAGAGAAGTAGTATATTGGCCCTTAATGAATCAGGAGTTCAAGGACTACATTGAACACTGTGAAATTTGCAGCATGTTCGCATCACATCAACAGAAAGAACCGCTTATCGTGCACGACGTACCACAGAGACCCTGGCAGAAGATTGGCTGCGATATCTTCACGCTATATCAAAGATTATCTCTGTACGGTAGACTACTACTCAGGATACTTTGAAGTTGATAAGCTTGAAAGGAAGTCAGCAAAACCAATTATCAAAAGTGTGAAACGACACTTTTCAACGCATGGCATACCAGAAGAGTTTATCAGTGACAACGGTCCACCATTCGACTCGCTGATGAGTATGAGTTTATGACAATCACAAGTTCTCCGAATTACGCACAAAGCAATGGTCGTGTCGAGAATGCAGTCAARACAGCAAAAAGACTACTGAAGAAGAGCAAAAGAGCTGGTACAGACTTCTACACAGCATTGTTAGACTGGAGAAACACGCCGACCGAGGGAGTTGGAAGCTCTCCAGTGCAGAGRCTATTTGGACGACGCACAAGGACGCTAGTACCTACTGCAGCAGAACTACTCAGACCAGAAATACCACACAGCRCACGAGACAAATTGCTACAGCGCAAAGTTATACAGTCAAACGCCTACAATCGCCACTCGAAAGAGTTACAACATTGAGGAGCAAAAAGAACAAYTCATTGTCTTATCAGGAGGAATCATTCGATAATGATTGTTTGGTTCTATCATCCATTAAATGCAATAACCTTCAAGATGAATTAACATGATAATCTGCTTCTATTCTTAACTTGAGGAGATCTTGATGTATGTAATGTTCTAACATAGGACTTTATATGAGGGACTGTTCGTTTGTTATGTGTCTCGGTTGGAAGGTGTTTTATCCAGAGGGTTCAAATATTCAAAACGTCTCTTTGAAAGGGGGTATAGTTTTCGAAAGGAGGTCTTGACCAGTGGTTATATGAATCACTTACAATCATTTACGACATAATGATTGTGCTTCTTGTTCTTCAAGATCACAAGGCGACCTTTTGTCGAGCTTGTTCTTTTTAATTTTCCCCTTTCTCTTGAGGGTGGTAGGGTGGAATCTTTTAATTTAGATTATGATAGGGKCTATTCATAGTTTGAAAAGTAATTTAGAAAACACCAACCAGTCTGTAATGTAATATACGATGAGTCCCTAATCATTCTCTTTGAGACCACTGTGTATCTCTGTAAATTTAGTTTCTGAATTTTCTGAAATTTTCTCATGTTGAAAATGAATTTTGGTTTTTCTTTACCATAGGCCATCAAGATGTAAATATAAAGTAAAACGGTAGGCTCAATAAAAGAAACCATTATGGAATACTTTTTCGTAAAATAATGTTAGAATAAATGAAATATTTGCTGGCAAATAGAATTTTTATGTTTTGTCGCTGTTTATGATTTCCTGTTGGAAATCTGGTRGTTATGTMATACTTTGTAAACGTGACATGGACACGTGACTGGGCCCCAAGGGAATTCACTTGATGTCATGCCATTGGCTCAATGAGTCACGAGTTAAAGACTTACGCGTCATTCTTCGCTAACCTTCAAGAAGCGTGGACGTTTTTKAATTTACAGGTACGTTTGACCTTTGTAATTGCTTCTTTATTCCCTATTTTGATTCTGTTGTGTTTCKTKACATTGGGTTAGCGATTAGAAGRGTTTTAATAGGCATTGTTTTGGGGTTTTTGTCCTTTACGTGATTGTGTTTATACTTAATAAYTAAGCTTATTTGTCACGAGCGGCTTGCTAATTACTAACATGGCGGATTGTGCTCCTACAGTGCTTATATTAGGTCATTCTTTTGTTAGACGAATGCACCAAGACTTGTTATCAGTATTTCATCCCCGTGCCCATGTAAATTTCAGTCTTTCTGACGCCACGGTTTGCTTTCAC